TTATTCTCCCCCGCCCGCCCGTCTGGCGGTGGCTCGCGGTGTCCCGCGGTGTCCCGTGGTATCCCGTTGAGAGAGATCGATAGTGAGACCGATACTGAGATCGAAATGGTGCCCCGCGGAGTCCCACGGTGTCCCAAAAACTGAGACCGATTGTGAAATCGATAGTGAGATCGACAGGTGTCCCGTGGTGTCCCGTTGAATGAGATCGATACTGAGATCGATGTGGTGCCCCGAGGTGTCCCGTGGTGTCCCCAAACATGAGATCGATAGTGAGATCGATACTGAAATCGACAGGTGTCCCGTGGTGTCCCGTTGAGTGAGATCGATAATGAGATCGATGTGGTGTCCCGAAGTGTCCCGTGGTGTCCTATGGTGCCCCGTTGAGTGAGATCGATAGTGCGATCGATAATGAAACCGATAGTGGGATCGAGAAATGTCCCGCGGTGTCCCGTGGTGGCCCGTGCTGTCCAGTTGGGTGAGATCGATAGTGAGATCGATAAATGTCCTGTGGTGTCCCGTGGTGTGAGATCGATAGTGAGATCGATTGAGTCAGATGTTGGTTCCCCCTTTCCCCCCCACAACCCCCACAACCTCCTTATAACCCGAAGGGTGGTCGGATAGGTATAAGGTATGCGAAACGCAAGCGGCAAGCACATGAAACGTAAACGCCAACGAAGCGCTTATAAAACGCATCGATTGCGCCTACGAAGCATATACACATTGTAAAACAAACGTAAGTGACCATTTCATGGAGCTCATTCGGCACGTACTTGGAACGCATACGCAAATCGGTGCGAAACATATACGGACGTGTCCGAAACGTACACAACACGTGTGCGTAACGCAGATGCGAAATCCATGAACCCGTACGAACGTATACGGCACGTCTACGAAACGCATGCGCAACGTGTGCGAAGCATGGGCGAAAGGTAAACAATACGTATACGGTGCGTATACGAAACTTCTATGGAATGTGCCCACAACGCATACACATCGTATACGGAACGTATACGCACCGCTACGAAACGTATGCGATACGTATCACAGACATATCACGCACAACCGGCGACACGATCACGCTACTCATACGCAACGTACATCAAATTGGTACACAACGTATCCATCACGTATCCCACACTTCTACGACACGCATCTATAATATCCACAGCCTGTGTACGACACGTGTACACAAACATGAAACAAGGCGCGTACGAAACGCAACCGAAACGTATACATAACGTATACGTAAGACATGTCAGGACTGCTTATATTAAAAGAATTCACAGAATACGCAACACGAGTTCAACACGTAAACACCCCGCATACGACACGCCTACGAATCGTATACAGCAAGCGCATGTATACACGTGTATATATATGTATATATGTATATGCACGTACGTCTATATATGTACTCATATCTACATATGTACACGTATACTTACATACATACAAGCATGTGTACACTTCCCCCCTCCTTCACCCATGCCCCTGGGACCGCCGTCGGCCACGGCCACGAGAGCTCCTCAAGAACTGGGGACAAACAAGCGTCACAAGTGACAGCCGTCCTCGCCTTCCTCTTTCTCCTCCTCCTCGTCCTCCTCCTCTTCCCCCGCATCACCATACGCATCATCATCGCAATCGTCAAAACCGCTGTGGTAACGTCTGCATCACCATGATCACCGCCACCATCACCATCATCACCATCATCATTATCACCATCACCATCACCATCGTCGTCATCATTATCATCACCACCATTACCACCATCATCACCGACATCATCATGATCAGGATCACCGTCATCATCGTGATCATCGTCATCGTCATCATGATCACCGTCATCATCATCACCATCATCATCGTCATCGTCGTCTCCAACATCACCATCACCATCATCATCATCATTATCATTATCATCATCATCATCATTATCATCATCATCATTACCCTCATCATCATTGTCTTGGTCATCATCAGCATCATCATCATCATCACCAACACCATCACCATCAGTACCATCATGATCACCATCACCATCATCATCATCAACAACATCATCGTCATTATCATCATCGTCTCCTCCAACATCCTCCCCCTCAATCCTGCTCGCAACGATGACAAGTCGGCTCGAGCCCGCGCCGCTGTGGAACAACCCAGTCCTCTCACTACCCGTGGCGACTACTGCAAATAATCGGCCGTATACACAGCCGGGGGAACCGTCATAACAAAATGTATATTCCGATATCCCGAACAGACTCGATATTTTGTTACAACATGCGGCGGACTGGCGCTGACCGCGCCTCTGAGGCATCGGATGGCCAGGCTGTGTCTCGACGGGCCGCTTTGGGGACGCCGCCTTCTTACGTGAGTACAAGTCAGTACATCAGAAATGCATATGGGCATACCAGTGTGCAACCCAGTATAATCGAGTTTGATTGGACAGGGCACGCGAGAGGACACAAGACCCTTCTGAGGGCCACATTGCCACAGGAATGTAGAAGGCATGGGTCGCTATCACATGACACAAGGGCACCGCTGATTTGGCAGGGTCGACCCACTAATCCAACTCGAATGTAATGTCACATCCGACATTTAAGCATCTGCAAGTGCAAGTACAGTCGGGGCGTTGACTTAAGGAACCCTAAATAAGGAACGAGGCCCCTTTCTTCCAGAAGTGAAACTTCGATTTCCCATCGAAGACATCAGGAACACCTGAGGCGAGCTGTGAAACACCTAAGGAACGCGGGGCCCCTCCCCAACGAGAAGGGTTCCTTCTTCAGGGCCCCGACTGTATCACAGCTCACGCATGTGTCGGGTCGGGCGAAAGGGGGGGATAGCAAAAGGGGGGGTTTGAGAATCAGCTCACGTAGCTGATTTTCCCGGCGCCTCCTGGCGCCAGAAGGCGGCTATGTATCGAGGAATGGGCCCCTCGGTGGGGCCGAAACCAGCTGCATGCAGCAGATTTCGTAACCCCCCCTTTCCCAATCCCCCCCTTTCGTCCGGCCCGAATGTGGCATACGAAGGCAGCGGCCGCAGAGCGGGCCAAGTCGCTTCGAGGCTGGGCTGCCGGCTCACTCCTCGCCGCCGCCGGCCGACTACCCCGGGCGCGCCCCGCGGACCAGGCGGCCCGGCCACGGCATCGCGGACACCTTCGGGGCCAGGGAGCTCAGCTTGCGCTGCTGGCGGCGGCGCTGAGCCCTCGAGTGCGGCTTGAATGAGCCCACGCTGCTCTCCGCCTCGTCCTTGCCCTGGTCCTCCGCTTGTGTGTGCTTGTCCTGGTCCTCGCCCTCCGACTGGTCTTCGCCCATCCGCCTCGTCCTCGCCGGCGCTGCTGGTGGCGCTGCGCTCTCGTCCTGGTCCTCTGCCTCGCTCGCCGTTGGCGGAGAACACGCTGGGCCTGCGGGGCCATCGGCTACCTCTGCCGCAACCAGCACAAACTGGTCGCCGATGAGCGCAAAAACCGCCCGAGTCCGGTCCGTCTTCGAAGCAGGGGACTCAGAAGCAGAAAACTGGGACTCTGGTCCAGTCTGGTGAAGGTGGAACTGGGACTCCGAAGCAGAAGCGACAGGCTCCATGGATGTCGACCAAATTCCGTCGGTCGAAAGAAGTGGGTCGAAACATGAAGTGGGAAGGCGTTGGACGTATATTTGGTTTCCGCCCGCCCCATGAGGACGAGAGGGGAGAGGGACAACCACTCGACTCTTGAAGTAGGAGGGCGCCTGAAATAGATTGGATCCTGGGAGTTCAAAAATACCTACTCCCAACGACCGGCGGGTAGTCCAATGGTTTGGACGCCCGAAATGGGTACGGAAAAAAGGGTATAATTCCCAACAACAGATGTTGTCCCAAACCGACAGCGGCCGCTGTTGGGCAGGCGGCCTTCTGTCTCTAATGGACACAGGCCGCGGCGGCACGGACAGCGAATCGGGTTCAAAATGAACAGGAACTGCTGTTGGGCATTGTGCCCATTCCTTCTGTACCAATTTCGTTCGTGAAGAATTAGCGTATCCTCAGCGATCCAGCCCGCAGAACGGCCGGAGTGAGTCACGGCCCAGTGCGGGCCGACCAGGCTGCAACCTGGCTCGACCTCCGAAGACTTGAGCCCAGGCTGCCTCTCTCTCTCTCTCTCTCTCTCTCTCGCTCTTCTCTCTCTCTCTCTCTCTCTCTCTCTCTCGCTCTCTCTCTCTCTCTCTCTCTCTCTCTCTCTCTCTCTCTCTCTCTCTCTCTCTCTCTCTCTCTCTCTCTCTCTCTCTCTCTCTCTCTCTCTCTCTCTCTCTCTCTCTCTTCTCTCTCTCTCTCTCTCTCTCTCTCTCTCTCTCTCCTCTCTCTCTCTCTCTTCTCTCTCTCTCTCTCTCTCTCTCTCTCTCTCTCTCTCTCTCTCTCTCTCTCTCTCTCTCTCTCTCTCTCTCTCTCTCTCTCTCTCTCTCTCTCTCTCTCTCTCTCTCTCTCTCTCTCTCTCTCTCTCTCTCCTCTCTCTCTCTCTCTTTTTGTTTCTCTCTAATATATATATATATATATATATATATATATATATATATATATATATATATATATATATATCCCCCCCTGCGTGACGGGGGTGGGGACCCACTCGGGCGCAGGGCTGGAGGCGGAGGGGAGGGCGGTGGGGGAGGGGGAAGAGGGCGGTGGGCTCTTCCGAACCCTCATCAGCACCCCCAAACTCCTGAACCCACCTCTTCCGTTCCTTTTCCATATAGATGACCCCTCCCTGCCGGACCCCGAGAAGTGTCTCTGGGGGTATATATATATATATATATATATATATATATATTATATATATTATATATATATATATATATATATTATAAAACATTATATATATATAACCGCAGGCGCACACACCAATTCCATGTGTCAAGTCCGTTCTAAACATCTCAGCGAGCACTGGGCACCGTGCAATCAGTCATGCAAAGGGAAGGGGAGGAGCAGCAGCAGAGGCAGGGCAAAGAGAAGCGGCGGCGGGTACTCTGCTCCGAGTGTACAGGATCCCTGGCGGGCGCGCGCCCCCCCAAGGCACACCGTCCAAAAGGGGATCGCACACACTCGAGCATCCGCCCCGCGCCACACTCACTCCTCGGCTGACCGAGGGCCCAACCAACAGCGCAGCAGGCAGAAGCAGACAAAAAGGGGCGCGCCCCAAAACGAGAACCCAACACAAGAACCGAGGGAATATCTGACAGCTGGCCTCCACAGTGCCACGAACTTCGTCGGGAACCTGAGGGCGAGAGGGGGGCGCCCCCTCGCGCGGGGCGGCAGCCGGGGCGCCTCGAACTTCGTCGGGGCCTGAGGGCGACGGCAGGGCGCGGAGGAGGGGGGGGACCTCCTCCGCGCCAGACGCAACGGGTGTCTGGATGCGCCACGGCTTGGCGTCGCGGGAAGGCCTGCCTACCCTGCCGAAGCGACGATCGAACAACGGCCGAGCGAACCAGACCGCCCGCCCGTCCGAGAACCAGTAGCTCACGGACAGCAAGAGAGGCGAGCAGGCAAAGAGGCGGGGCGGCCGCGGGGCGGGCGGCGGAGAGAGGCTGGGGGGCGGCGGCGCGGCAAGAGAGGCACTCTCTCACGCGTGCCGTCCAACCCATCTGTCAGCATGCCTCCCCAAAAGAACGCCCGAAGCTGCACCTCGCCATCTTCACCTGCAAGCGGAGAGGGTCACAAAGAGCACTGGCAAGCGCCCGCAACCCAGGCGACAACACGGGGCCCTGAATTAACCAAGAGACGAGACAGAGCGGAGGGAAAGCACAACAGAAAGTAAAACCTCGGAAAACCAGACAGCCAACCCGAGAGACCCATCAGGGTCACATCAAACTCTGACAGCATCATGCATGGACCTATACCTAGGGGGCCACAGGGAAAAGGGGGGGACAAATAAAAGGGGGGACACGGCCAACTCAGGAGAGGAGGGGCGCGGCAGGAGGAGCAGGGGGGGCAGGGGGAGGAGCGGCAGCAGCAGCATTCGACCGCAGCACACGAAACGCCTCATTAAGCCTGGGGTGCCGACGGGACAACTGCCGAAGCCTGGCTTTAATCAGAAAGTCCCCCGGCTGGACCGAGCCAGTCCTGCGAGCATTATGCGCGGCCAGAAAGCAATCAATTAAGGCGCGCCCCACTAGGTCACGTGACCGCCCCCACTGTGGCCCCAGACAACAGAGAGTGAGGAGCCAATCCTCACCCGTTAGAGCCGCGGTCCAAGACCTCAGAAGTCCACCACGGGGGAATATGTCAGTCAACCCAGCCTTCAACTTGGGGCACACGCGATAATGCCTCAGATCGTCGTCGGCCGCATCCAGAGGACACCCAAACGCACAGCCCACCACCGTGGTATGCAGACGACTAGAGGTACAGACTCCACGGCAGAGCACTCTAAGGACCCCCGTGACGAGGTGCATCGCGCTGTCCTTCTCAACTTTACGCATCCTCTGGGCTGAAAGTCAGCTACCGTAAAACGGTCGGGACCCACCCACTTGGACACCCTCTGAACCATAGTGCGGAGGGGAACAGTGGGGTCACGGAGCCCTCTGAGCTTGCGCATCGCTTTCTTCTGAAGGGATTTCTTGGGGATGGGTTCCAGGGTCGGGACCGTGAAATTGCCTACTTCATTCACCGTAGTCCTGATCCAGGAGGACTTCCACCAGGGCCAGCTCAGGCGAGCAGGAATGAAGTTATCGTCATCCAGGGAAACCGTCAAGGACTCCATCTCATACTGGACAGCATCAATACTGGAGCAAGACATCAACACCCGAAACTTGATAGCCTTCGAAAAACAATCGATGTCCAAGCATTCTAAAGAGGCCCCCAGCGCTCGCATGCCCGTCAGCATCTCCCTCGAGAAGGCATGGCGGGGACCAGCAGTAATCACCTGTAGGGCCTCATTATACGCTTTCCGAAGAGCCGTAGTCACTGGGCAGAGTTGTAACTGGTACGCCAAAATCGACATGCAGTGCGAGTGAAAAAGGCGAATGGTCTGAGGAAGCCCCAGCCCAAGCCCACGAAGCCTCCGAACCGTCATCCAGAACTTGGGGATGGTGTTGCTCCATACTTTGTCCAAAGCCCCAGGCCCGAGCCAGAATCCCAGGTATAAAACAGCGCGAACAAACCCGATGCGGTGGTACTCACTCCCCTTGGCTCGAAGGTGGGCAACTAATCTATCAGGATCAAGCGAGCCAATCACCAATACCTTACATTTGGGAATGTTCAACCCAAGTCCCACCGCATGTTCCAACTTACGAAGGAGCGAGAGCGTCGGCTGGAGGTCAGTCAGGATGTTGGGAAGGCAGAAAGAGAGATCATCAGCGTAGGCTCTAATCCGAGGGACATGGTCAGCATCGACGAGGCTTGGCGACTCAATCATCCCATTGACGCCACACTGTACTCGCAGGTAGCCTACAAGACCGCCAAGATCCAGGAGACGATCAGAGAGAAGCATCGAACGCAGCCGAGCAAGAATCTGACCCCCGCCATTCAATCTCAACCACGTTGTCAAGGAGCCCACGTCGCGCGACCCCCCCTCGCTGGATCGGGTCGATCACTGTCGGAGCAGCCCGCTGGAGGCCGATGGAGAACGCGTCACTCAGGAGCTTCACATCGGCATTCGCTAGCGTGAGTGGGCGAGTCTTATCAGGCGACCGAACAAGGACAGCGGGGTTCTCGTCGTCTTTGAGGTCTTGGGCAGAAAACACATCCTTCCTCGACGCATGCACGCCGAAACCGTACCCCCAGACGCCTGATACATCTCCTCATAAACAGCGAATAAAACATCAGCGCCCCCCCCCCCCCCCCCCCCCCAGCTTTCCAGCGCCCATGCGGGGTGCCGTCCTCCCCAGGGGCAGAGTGATGCTTATATCGGGCTCGCTCGATAAAATCGTCAACGTCCAACTTCCAATGCGAAGGGTCCAACTGGATCGGCTGGGCATGGGCGAGGATTTCAGGCCATGATGTCCGATCAGGTTCCTTGGCAACAAAAACCGCCTGCCAATGGTCCCGAAGGGCCTCGGCAGAGGCCGCCGGGGAAGGGCGCGCCTGCCCTGAACTGTCCAGGATCCCAGAGCGCCCGTATCGCCGACGCATCTTAGACCAGGCTCGACGGAGGTGTTGCAAACGGGCCATTGCCTTAACCTTAGACTTCTCGTCATCCTCCCACCCGTCCGTCGCCCGTTCCTCCGACTCATGCCAGGCATCCTTCAGGGACTGCGCCAAATCACCCAGGCCTGCTATATCCAAGCATCTCTCACGGTCTGGATCAAAGTACTGAAGCAACCGAGGATACGCACGGATCGCGCGCGCACACTGGTCGAACCTGCTCATGCGCCACCCACGGAAAGCCATCATAGCAAAGCGGAGCTTCTCACAGTTCTCTTTCGGGGGCTTCGTCCGAAGCCGAGCCTTGAACAGAGGGGCCATCTGCCAGAAAATCTCTTTCACCCGAGCCAATGTCTCCCGGGGGGTCAAATCCTGGTCGATTTCCACAATAGCGCTGGCACACAACTCATGGTAAACACCATGACGGGACATCCACTCAGGAATCTGGGTGGGTAACGCTGATGGCATCCTCAGAGCGACAGTGGCCGCGACAGGGATATGGTCGGACGAGGCGAAGGTCTTCGCGACATGTCCCAGGGTATTTACCGTCACCGCCAAATCATTCAAGACGGGGGCGGAGAGAGAAGTGTAGATGCGGTCCAGACGGGCGACCCCGCGGACTTCTCCCTGGAACACGTCACGCCGTGTCGGATCTGGTTGGAAACGCTCAGCCCAAGACCCACACATAGACTGAAATGCATCTGTGTGTTCCCTATCCCCTGCTAGCCACGTGCCGTCAGTGCGAAACCGCCCCTCCTCCACCTCCATAAAGTTCCAATCCCCTGCAATCAAGCACATAGTGTGCGCAGCCAAAGGAAGGAACGCCTGAATCGCACACAGGTACCTGCGATACATCGCAACAAGATCCGAAGTGTTCGGCATGCGAACGTTGACAATCACTAGGTCCCCACGACATCCCTTCAGGTGCGAGGCGAGAACTCGGCCAGCAATCAGCGGGAGCGGAGTGATCGATTCGAACTGCGAAGCCAGCTTACTCGATATAACAGTAA